CTTGCTTTTTATAACCAATCTGCTTTCTCCTCCTTAGTACTTGAAAGTTTGTCATATTTTCATCTTTCTACTTCATGTAAATGTAATGTCATGCGCATAAATAAAATTATGATAATTAGATAGAGTCTACAGTAACTGGATAAGCTTGAACTGATATGAAGTAGCCAGGAAATAAATTAAGTTTTGATTCTGGCTTCTTTAAATTACTTTCAAATACTCACTTTTGAGCTTCTCACAACTTGAAAGAATAATTGAACTTTTCTTAAACCATAGCAAAAATAATTTACCTAAGGAAAGTATTTGCCAAGGCTTATTAAAAATTTTCAATGAATTTGGTATTTTCAAGTAATATATTGAAGGCTGAAAATAAGAGTGTGTGTGTATCCCACTGAATCTTTTATTGCTAATCTTTCAATCAAAGGAAAGATCCTTCACACATTTGTACATATTGCAGATCCACACATATTCCAGCAATATAAACTTTCCAAAAACATACACACACAAACAAAACTTTTCCTTATTATAAAGCTTAGCTCTTCTAAAATACCATTAATAATAAACATATTCATAAAAACAATACAGAACATTACAATTAAGTATAAGACAAATGACTTGCCTAGCATGGTTAAGCTTTTCCATGTAAATGAACTGACCAGGAACCAAAAACTTCCCTTCTTGGCAATTAGATGCCATTAAAACAAACATACAAAAATTAACCATCTGGAATGAAGCTCTAAAATACGTTAAATATTTCTCTGGCTTCTTAGTTAGAATTTACTGAATAAAATACAGTAAATTTTATTTTGTATTTTTTACAAAATAAAAATACTGTCGGTTTAGTTTCAGATCACTATGATACTGTTGGTTCAGTTTCAGATCACTGTGATAAAGCAAATACTGCAATAAAGCAGGTCACACGAATCTTCTGGTTTCCCAGCGCGTATAAAACTTACATGTACACTATACTGTAATCTACTAAGTGTGCAATAGCATTATGTTTTTTAGAAAATGAACAGACCTTAATTGAAAATAACTTTATTGCTAAAAAATGGTGACAATCTTTTTGCTAGATGGTCTTGCCTTGATGCTGTGGCTGCTGACTGAGCAAGCAGGTAGTTGCTGAAGGTTTGGGTGGTTATGACAGTTTCTTAAAACAAGACAACAATAAAGTATGCCACATCAACTGGCTTCATTTCATGAAAGATTTCTCTGTAGCATGTGA